GGGGGGGGGGGGGGGGGGGGGGAGAAGGGCTTAATTTTTGGAGGGGCTTATTATTAGAGAGAGTTTTGCACCTCAAAATTGTCTCTGCCAATATTTTAGAAGGGACTGTGTTTCGTAAAATGTTAAGGCTAAAGTGGGTATATTGAATTGACTGCTAACTCAAGCCTATCAGACCATAACTGCAAATGAAGCTATGATCAAGCCATGTCATGAAATGAAGTTATCAAGAATATATGTATATGGGGACTTCTTCCCTAATCATTTGTGAAAATTGTTCATTTTGAAAAAATTTCAGTTAAAAAGCGAAGAAAAAGTAAATCTTTCAATGAATTTAGGTTGTTGCTGCACGTGTATCATGCAGGACGAAAGGGATTTTCTACAGTGGTGATTTCATGTGACAACACTGATATATTCATGCTAGCCCTTGCTTTCAAGAGTTTCATTGCTTCCTCAGTGTATATTAAGTGCAGAGCACAGGCCAGAACAAGGTATATTGACATCACGCATGATGTCCAGCACCACGGTTCAGAGGTGTGCAAATGTCTTCCTGGACTACACGCCTTTACTGCTTGTGAAACTGTAAGTGCCTTTTCCAGAAAAGGCAGAATGTCTGCATTGAGGTTGACGAAGTGACAGGTGAGATTGAGAGAGCTCCTCCAACTGAAGGGTACAGATCGGGGTGTGTCGGATGAGCTGTTTTCACGTCTTCAGGAGTTCACCTATTTCATGTACAGCTCAAATCCAGGAATGAAAGATGTCAATGACTTGCAGTACTGTCTCTTCTACACCAAGAAAGGGGAACTTGACTCTAACCAGTTACCACCATGCTTCGACACTCTGCCCAAGAGCCAACTACCAGGCTGTGATCTGGTGCAGGAGTCTCCAGAGCCACCCACACACAGCGCTTCGATAGATCATGCAGATAACAATTCTAGACCGCTCCCCAATCAGTACTCTATTCTTTTAAAAAAGAACAATTAGTTTATTAACACTTATATTTTGCCATTTGAATATATTCTTTTTATAGTTCCACCTATTTTTGTATATATTTGTAGTTGTTATCTTTTCCATTTTTTATCCACTGAAGGCTGTAGTCTGGCAGCCGAAAGCTCAAAAGTTTTAACTTTATATAGCCAGTGAACGTTTTTTATAAATTTTTTATTAAGACTGATGTATACAATGCGTTTACAGCGCATTTTGAAACAGGCCTGACCACCAAATCCCTATTAATAGTGTTTTACACTGGATGATGAAAATACACAAGAATCTGTCAGACTACCCACTAGCAACATAACATTATACGTGATAAAATGATTCCATGATCACCTTAAGAACCTCAGTGGACTCTATCACGATAATGTGCGACTCTACACAATAACAATATTGAAATAGGGAGCTTAATTAAGCAATTACGACGGCGACGCCCAGGACGACACCTAAAAAAATTTAGATCTAAAACCCTACTCAAAGATGTGACGCCAGCGATCAATTCCAGAACAGAATACGAAAAATTAGCCGTCGTAGATCACGCTCTTCAAACTACGCAAAACTTGGTAATTCACGTTGTTGTTTTGCAGAGGACGGAAACGAAATCTACAAAGATTTATAACGCACGCGCACAGCCATTGTTTTGCTCATTACACTGTATGTTTGGTGACGTTCTCGTTGCCACTGCCGTCGTGGTTTGCTCAAACTCTCTATATTATCAGATAAAAGACGCCAGCGTTTCATCCAAGTTCTCACAAACTTCACTTTTTATTCTGTTGCACGCGAACAGCATCCTTCGTGCTGCGTGTCTGATTGGCCAACGATAAGACGGATAACGACAAAATGTCACATTAAATTTCAAGACAAGGGCCGGAAAATATACACAGATAAATAATGATTAAATAGCTTTGCAAGTACCTGTGGGGCAGACACATTCCAACCATTAAAATTTATTCCTTCTAAAGAATTCCACGGAATATATTTTTTGTAAGTGTTGACCGGAAGTAATTGGCTATCAAAATATATAAATTCTTCCTACTGGGCAACAAACATTTTTTGAAGTACAAGTTTCCTTTGAATTCTCTTTATTTTGTTGAGAAAGTAGGTCATGGTCAAAAAGCCTCATCAATTCCTAAAACGGTTTTTTATTCCCGTTTTAAGCCCGCTCGCATATAAGCCCCCCGTTAATAAACTAATCTAAAAGTACTTACGAAGTTGTATAAGCCTAGGGTTTATAAGCGGCAGTCGACAGTTTACCATTACCACAACTTTACGAGTGTTCCTAAAAGCACAAAAGTCCTCTAAGTCGTCTCGCGAGCGAGATTATAAAACATTGTTTATCTTTACAAATACTTGTATCGCTCTTAGAAACTCTTTGCAACGTCACGCAAGGTTTTGTGACGACCATATACCGCGCGCAAAACCTGTGTGGGAATTTCCACTCACATGAACAAAATCTATCAATGTGCCCCCAAAATAAAGTTGTCCCCAGGACCACGCGATCATAAAAGCACTTAAATCAATTGAACAGCGTAATCTTCTTCTCGATCGGTTTCCTGCACATAGGACAAACTTCCAATGACGTTGCACACTCCACGCACGTGCCGTGTCCGCACATGAAGGCCACGTTACGCGCTTTCTCCAGGCAAATGGCACACATGGTAGCGTCTTCTATCTCCCTGACATGCGCTTGGAGTGACAACAATGAATGAAGCGTCTCTAGGTATTTCTCGTCCGTTTCACTTAATTCCGCCGCTGGTTGGGTAGATGTTTCTTCTACAAGCAACAACATCAACAACAAAATTAAAATTCAGCTCCTTAACGGTAAGAAACTAAAAACTAAACTTTACTAATGCACACGAAGTCAACAATGCTTCAAAATTCCGAAAATTCACCCCTCTCCTCCCCGATATAATTTTTTCTATTCTCTTTATGTTATTCTTTTACCTCTGTGTCAAAACGAGTCGGAGTCTTTGTGCGAAACCATGCATATGAAAATGTATTTCGCCGACGTGTTCATTTTCATCAGACTCGCTTTGAAACAGAGGAACAAAGTAACTCGGAAATAACCTATTATTTTATCACAAGGACTGGACGAAAAATCTCTTTCAGAATGTTAATATTTCCAACCATTTTTGAAATGCAAAATGCCCTCCTACAATAACCAATTCATAATAAACAAAGCCTGAGTCAAGGATTACTCACCACTTAAGATTTTTCTTTCAATAACATTCTTGCATTTCAAACACTTCTTCATTCGCATGGCACAGTCTAGTGACAGGAAAATAACGTGAAACACAAGAGTATTCATTATGTTATAACAAACTCATACAGCGTCCTTATGGATTACCAGTTATACAAGTACAAAAGAGTGCTTTTTACGTGTGGTACCTGATATTTTTTAATACACTTGAAATAAGAAGTTTTAAAGAAATCAGTGTGAATGCATTTTTTTGGTTACTAGTCAGCAAAACAGGACGGATGGAAACTGCATCCTTCGAAAATCAGTTTCCATTTGGGTCTAATTGAGCAGAAACCGACTTATGATCAAAGTGCTCCATATAAAGGCTGGCGATTCAAAACGACTAATACACTGCTTTTCCACTCATTCGGGAACAATAACTGAATTCTATTTTCCCGAAAATATACCTGTGAATAGGTCTATTAGACTTTCAACCGGAAAAAACCAATTTAATATACAAGTCGAAGGCGGCGAAAACCCCATTAGGATTCATTAGCCAGCAAATGCAGACCGACTTCCATCTGGCGTACACAACAAGGGAAAATTCCTCCGCTAAAGCGTCTTCCGATCACTGACAAATTAATTTCGAAAGGAGAACACACATCTACAACAAAGTTAACATAATTATCTCAGCATACCTTTACAAGCTATCACGTGACCACAAGGCTCAAACTTGACGGAGGGTGGCTCATCCGAACACACTATACACTGTACTTCCTCACTCTCCCCTCCCTGAGGTACTTTGTTAAAGGAATGAACTACACTCTGAGAAAAGGATTATAAAGAGGAAAAGATAAATTACCTTCCTTGCAAGACAGAGTTCTACTAAATTAATCTCACTCGGAAAACGACACAGGAAGAAAACGACACAGGAAGAGACCTCCACTGAGAATGTTCGAGTGATGTTCTTGCTAACGCCAAAATCAGTATTGCATGTCACTGTACAAACCGATCGTGTCAGTGGGTGAAGTTATTTCATGGCCGTTGTCTTTTCAAGCGTCAAAATATTTTACATTAGCTACTACTGACGCTGGCATGCGCCAGTAAAACGATTGAGAAATATCGGGAATTTTCTTGTTTAAGTAAATCTATTGAGCGAGTGGCCGTAGAAAGCGTTTGGTGACTGGTTAATACGATCTTCAAGCTATTCCATGCCATGCAAATAATCCCCATGAGGAGTGAAGTAGTGGACAATTCGACTGCATTGACTAAAACCATGACTAAAAAAAGTCACCTTCAGGATAACGCTGGTAATTTGCAAGAATCACTCAATCATCAACACACTACATTTTACCTTACAACGGAAACACTTCTTCAACATTGTAGCACATTCCATGCAAGCAACTACGTGACCACACGGATCAAATATGGCGTTTGCAGGTAAACCGCACACGCGACATTTAACAACTTCAGCACTGGGAGTAGCCTGGGTCGACATCGTTACATAATCTGGAGAGGCGCCATTTTGCGTATCAGCGGTCGTCTTCGGTGTAGAAGACCTACAAAAAAAGATCAATGCGCTCTTTGTAACGGCGTCCAATAAAACAATCTTTGAATGATCGAGTTTAATGAATGCCATGAAATAGTTCACTACTTTTGGTTCAGTTTGATTCCATAGAGTGATCAACATTAAATTCTCCTTACAACATTAATTCACTGCTAAGCAGACAGGTGATGAGAATTACTCCCTTAAAAGAGACCGATCTGGGCGTGGCTCGAGCTTTATTTGACCCCAACAAGATACCATTTAAAACGAAATAGGCTTGATTACCAGCCGCTGTTCTGGAAGTGAGCCCGCACTAGTATACTGGACTCGAGAGACAGGTGAAAAACGAGCGTAAAAACGGAAATAAGAGCGGTTGTTAAATATTTCTTCGAGTGCACCCTAAAAGATACTTTGGCAGCTAAAATTAGTGGCGTTAACGTTTCGTCATGAACGCCCTGCGTGAGACCAGAATCCTTGATTTATACCCCTAACCGAGACGTGCATCCCTGACCTTTTCATGTGGGAGTCTTCTCCCCCGGGACTGAATCACTATATTCTCGATCAGCAGTAACTTTGGACAAGTCAGATTTCGTTGTTAGGGGAGAGTACTCACCGTTCTGGTGTTGAAGTACTGCTACTGCCAGGCAGCATCATTTCTCTGAGCCTTGGATCCCTGCACAGCTGTAATGGCGTCTTTTCATGTTTGTTCTGAAGTGAGATGTCAGCGTCGTGATCCATCAGTAGCTTGGTGATTACAAATGTAGGTTCGCTTTCAGACACCTACATGGACAAAATGATTACATCAGACAAACCGTGAAAAGCGATGAAGGCAGACCTGAATCAGAGCAAACTTTCTCCTGCGAAGTTTGTAAACGGTATTCAAACTCTTTACAGAAAACTGTATATATTTGACTGGCAGACTGTTGAACAGACAAAGAGAGAGACGGACAGACAGATAGACAGACAGACACAGACTGACAGACTTGCTGACTGACTGGCTGACTGGCTGACTGGCTGACTGGCTGACTGGCTGACTGACTGACTGACAGCTGGATGGATAGAGGGATGGGCATGCAGACGGACGGACAAACTACGAGATGATAAAAAGAACGAGCGACCACTCTTTCACCTGAATTTCCAACTGACCAACAGACTAAAACTCAAACCTGTTTCCGATCTCAACCCACCTCTTTCTTTGGAGTATTACTTCCTCCAAACTTCAAGGAATGATACATGACCACTACATGAAGTGGGGAGTCACCAACATCGTCTTGCGCATTGACTTGAGCTCCGTTATCTAACAGCAGTTTGGCAATAGTCACGTGTCTCTTATCCACTGCTAGCAAGAGAGGGGTCTGCTGACGACTGTTACGAAGGTTGACGTCAGAATGAGGGCGAGCCTGCAATCAAGATGTATGGGCTATTGACCGAACGTGGATAGTTAGATCGACCGAGTTTTTATTATGAGTGTTTATGGACCAAGACGGGGCCGAAAACCTTTGCGAGAAAATCTTAAGAGAGTTACAATCTCGCAAAAAAGAACGAGGCCAATATCCAGTCATCTTGACCGAACAAACTTGGTTAATAACGGATTTATCGTATTGCCTTCGGAGAAATTATTATCGTGGGACACAGCGGGTAATCTCGAGTGGGCGAGATAGCGCCATCTCACCCGCCTGGGTAGCCAATCACAGCGCACGATTTGGTTTATCCTACCCGTTCATGAAGCTAGTCGTAAAATAAGACAAGGTAATGTAGGAGTAAAACTAGGAATAGGGGTCGGAGAATGAAGTGTAGTAAGGCCTAACCCCAGACAAAATTGCTTCCAACAACAGCCCCCTGGAAAATGCTTTTGTAGTTCGAAATCAGTAGTATGTCAATTAAATCGTCTGCTAAACAATATCACTCATGGTGTACCTTAATAAGGCATTCAACAACACTGTGATGTCCATTTAGTGAAGCTAAGTGAAGTGCAGAGAATCCATCATCTTTGACAACATTCAGTAAGTCTGGAGACTTCTGTACAATCAACGATGCAGCCCTGTGTTAAAAGAAAAAAAAAAACGATGCAGAGGTCGTTAACAGATTCTCCTTACGCATTTCCATACTTTCCAAATAAAACCAGTTGAGAGAGTTCAGTTTTTAAACATCTCTGCCAAACAAAGAACCAACAACCTTACAAGGCATGGTGTTGGCTTTGAATTTTTAGTTTGTTGGTCGTTCATTAGAACGACGCCTTACTTCCAACGTTCCATCACCCTCTTATAACAAGGAGTGCTGGCTGTCGCCTCCTCCTCCCCCCGCCCCCCCGCCCCCCCCCGTCCCCTAACACGCAAAAAACCCAGACATTTTGGTAGGCCGTTGCTTGTCTTGTATTTGGATTAAGATTGACAAAACCAACATAGCGATGTCATAAGGAATAGAAAACAAAACAAGAGTGAATGAAAGACCACGAATTGTTAAATTAAACTTCCAGACAGTGGGGACGGCTAAAGGTCCCTTTCAGGGGCAACGGGTACATGCCCCTATAATTTCCTCCTAAATTTAATTTTCCGCTAATAGTAGAAACAAAATAGTTAGTGTTCACTAAGAGCTCATGAAAGGAATATGGCCGACGAGGAAAAGCGGGACAGCTGGAACCCTGCGAAACTCGGCGAGAGAAGAGAAAAGAAAGAGAACCTCAGCTCAGCCTCGCAAGGAACATAGATGTACAGTGTAGTTGGTTACCGTGTCGTGAATTTGTACAGACCTTGTATTTCCTTTTAAGGCA